TTCGTCCTCGCGAAGTAGTCAAAATAAAGGAGCAAGATTCAAATCGTACGTTCAATGTGAAAGGGAGCCGGCTCAAACCGTATTGGGAAGCGAGTGAAGATTGCTAAGTGACTTCGGTCACTTTTGCTTGAAAATAAAGAAGCAACGACCGGCTGAAGACTTTAAACATAGCGCTTCTCGGGAGGCAACCCGAGCTTTATTGTTTTCCCTATTTTTCTTTATTTTTTTGTTTTGTTTTTATTTTCATAGGCATGCATGCTAATTAATCTATTTGAATTTTAATTTTCAGGGTCGTAAACATGATCAAGGGGTCCATAGGGTCGCCCGAAATTACAAGCAAAATCCCAGACGACCGTCTGGGAAACAAAAGGCCACAATCTGCAACACTGCCTGTGAGACGGCCGTCCGAAAATATACCTTAAATTTCAGACGGCCGTCTGAAATCCAGTGGGGGAGCAGAAAACTCCAGACGGCCATCCGAAACTTTTTTGAGGCGTATTAAATAGGAAAAATCAGATTTCTCCCCCATTATTTCCCAAACCCTTCTCCTTCCTTCTCTCAAACCCCCACACACAATTTTTGAGTTTTTTTCGAATTTCACTTCTAAAATTCATAAATTCACACACATAATTCGATCACACATTCTTTTTTATTTTGTTGGTACTGACATGGAGGCTAGAGAAAAGAACAAAATTCTCAAAAACCTATCTATTCAAGGCACGCCCAAAAGTTGTTCGACAAATTACTCCAACCAAGTTTGGAGTTCGATTCTCGACCAATTCTCATTAAATGTAACACCCCACCTTTCCAAAACCCGAAAACCCTAAAACCCGAAACTAATATTTCTAACTTGAGAACCCTTAGGTAATATTATTACGTGATATTAATTATATGCATTACGTGAATTTAATTATGTGACTTACGTGAATAATTACGTGCGTTATTATGTGGTGATTTCATGGTATTTATTTTGTGAAATTCGTGAGTAGATATATATGTGTGAATTATGTGATTTAATATCAATTTCGTAAGTTGAAATTCTAGGAATTTCGTGAACTACGTGACTTATGTGAATTATATACATACACATACTTACATGCATACGTATATACATTTTCATACGTGCATATACATACATATATACTAATACTTCCATTCTATATTTGAGTATATTTACATGGTATATATATATATATTTGTGTGTGTGTGTGTGTCCGGATTGTGTGTGTGTGTTGTTATGCAAGTTGGGTTTATTTTAAATAAATAAATTAGTGATTATATTGCATGCCTTTCCACTTGCCAAATGCTAATCATTTTGCCTAAACCCACTTGCTTAGTAAGATAAAAAAAAAAACCACTCTTCCTTTTTCTTCTTCAAACACCTAACCCCCTACTTGTCTTCCTCTCTCCCTCTCCACCGTAGCATCATCACCACCTCCATTCTTCATCTTCTTCCACCTCATTTCTTGTTTTTCAAAGAAAATGAAAAATCACTTGAAAATTTCCCTATTTAACCACGGTCATGGAGCAGCCTAGATCACCACTCATCTAAGAAATATACACCTCATTTGAAAGCCCACTCAATCTCTTCCACAATCATAGTAGCTTGGTTAGATTTCGGTGCTTGAAAGCCTCTCTTCTTTCGGTTGCTTTCTTCTCTTCGATTTTAAGGTAAGAAATTTCGAGTTTCTTGCTGCAATTAGAAGATATCATATTATTTTAAAAGAGTTTTCAAGATTACCTAAAAGACTTTTAAGTATTTCGAAATTTAGGGCTTTTTGGGGAAAAATGGAAAAGAGGTGTGTAATGTTGATTTCTTGTTCTTGCATGCCTCATCTATATTGGTAGTGGGTAGATACAAGTTTTATTGGCCAAAAGCATTAAAAATTTTCAGATTTGTTAGGGGTTTTCATGAAAAAGTGGATTTTGAACTTTTAGTGTGGTTGCATGTGTAAATCTTGAAACTTTGGGGTCAAAACTGCAATTTCCGAAAAATCTCTCATTTCTAAAGTTTGGATCTGTTTTCCAGTAAGTATTAAATGGGGAAAAAGTTTTATTTACAAAGATTTCAAAGTAATTAAGGTTATATTGGAGTTTTTGATTTTTAAAAGAAAAAGGGAATTTTCTAGTTTTTAATTTCAAGAAAATTCGAAACTTTGTGAAAATTTAAAATCATTTCAGAATCTGAAATTTGGATCAGTTAGGAGTTCTAGAATTTAATTTGGGAATTTTTGGAATTGGTTTGCTATTATTTCGAAATTAGGACAATTTGCATGTCATTTATTATGTGTTGTGCTTTTATTGTCATGCCTTTAATTGAATAAGTATGAGTGATAAGATTTGAGATTTTGTACCTTAAAATGGCTGCAAGGATGTGTTTATTACTGCTGGATTTATTGGAGTGGATTATTACCTAGATGTGGTAATAAGTTCATTAAATGAAAGGTGAAAAAGGGGTGCTTGCTTTACAAGCATGGTTTACCATTAAATGGTGAGGTTTAATGTGTTGGCTGCATGTGTGTGTGCTGAATATGTGAGTGTGTGTGTGTGCTGAATGTGCGTGTGGTGTGTATGCAGTGTGTGGTTGTGTGTTTATATGTGTGAATTTGGGGAATTTTGGCCAAAGGTATAAATATGTGGTAAATTGTGATATTTGTGTGATTTTGTGTCACTTGATTGATATTTGTGATGTTCAATGACTTTACGTAATTTGTAGTCATTCCATGACATGCATTTGCTTTTGACAAAATTGAAAGATTAATGGAATGTTTGGGTAATAAACGAATCGGATACGGTGGGCCGGTATCCAACTAGGGTTGAGAGGAGTGATACGAGTGATATGAGTGATATTGGATCCATAGACGGGCTCGAAACGGTTTATTATCCGAATATAGAAATTAATCTTTCACGGATCCGATAAATGAAAAAAATGATTTTTACACGGATTGCATTCATGAGCATGTTTGTGACTTATATGCTTTAGTACTTTTTGACTTGATTCTTGTTTGATGTTTGTATGACTCGGTGAAGGTGATCGGAATGTTATATATACTATATATATGTATAACCTATTTTCAACCCTCGGTAATTCCTCGAGTTTCTTACTGAGCTTAATAGCTCATATAGATATTTTCTAATTGCAGGTAGTGCTAGTGCTAACCCTCCCCCGGAATGGACCGAGTAGTGGATCGAAGTCTTGACCGGAGTTTTTGGAAGTTCGAACGAGGGTTCTATAAGTGTGGCTAAGTACTATTTTGGTGATGTAATATAAAGTAACTTCCGTTTTCGTTTACTATCGTACTCGTTTTTTAAAGCACGAGACTTTAATCGGCAACGGATCCTATTTTGAACTCCATAATATATTGATCCGTTTATGTTTATGAATAGTTCGTATATTTCATGATTTAATCGTTTATCGCCAAAATATTTCTAAACTCTGATTTTAATTTCGAACCTATGTTTTATGATAGTGTAGCACTCGATTAAACTCCTTCTCAAAAAGGTTCAAGCTTTTCAAAACAATGTTGCGAAAATTACTAGAATTCTAAATATTCAAGTATGGTTTTAAAATCGAAAGTGTTAATTTTTCGTGTTTTCAAAGTGATCCTATAAGTTGCTTCCGCTAAATCAATTAATTCCGATAAACTGGTTGGATTTATCGCCTATAATAGAGGGGGTGCTACAAGGTGGTATCAGAGCACGGCTTATAGAAACTCGTACGAACTTCACGGGCTTAAAAGACTATTCGAAACACGGAAGCTCGATCCATCCGGTAATATTATGTGAATTTCTTTACTTTGTGTTTTATATGTTTTACTTATTATTTGCGCAATAATATTTAGAAATAATGGCAAGACGTCTAACCCGCGGTAACCAAGGCGTACCTGACAATGAACCACAAGACCTCGGCCAAACCGTTCGTGATCTTTCAAACCTTATTCGAGAACAAGCCCAAACCCACCACCAACAAATCGAATGACTTCTCGAACGCAACCAACCACCACCTCAAAATCACGCACCTCAAGCTATATATGAACGATTCCTTAGAATGAACCCCTCCGAGTTCCATGGCGGCATCGACCCAACCGTAGCCGAAGAATGGATCAAGTCGCTCGAAGTGATTTACGACTATATGAAAATGACCGACCAGGACCGAGTTCATTGTGCCATATTCCTACTTCGGAACGAGGCTCGTCATTGGTGGGAAGGAATTAAAGAAGGGGTGAACCTCGAGAACCTGTCGTGGGACAATTTCAAGATCCAATTTTTCGAAAAATACTTCTCGAAAGACGTGCGAGCTCACAAACTCAGAGAATTCCTCGAACTCCGTCAAGGCGACTTATCAATGATCGAATACATCCGACGTTTCGAACGGGGCTGCCTCTACGCCCCATTCATTGCTCGAGACAACGAGGAAAAGAAGAACCATTTCATTCGCGGCCTCCAACCCGACCGACGCCGCGACCTTCCGACAATTGGTGGATAAGGCCCTTATGGCTGCCCAAGATGAGAAGGAGATTCAGCAAAGCCGTCGACCCCAAGGAATTACTCAACGGCCATGGAAGAAGATCAACCTTGGCAACCGCCAATTCCGAGGAAAGGAGATCCAGCCCGTGCGACGACCAGCCGGACCACCACCTCCACCGCCGCCACCTAGAAATGCGTGCCCAAAATGTGGAAAAGGACATTTCGGAGAATGCATACCAGGGACGAGGACCTGTTTCCGATGCCGACAGCCCGGACATATCGCGCGAGACTGCCCAGCTGCTCCGAAACAAGTTCCCGGACGTGTGTTTGCTATGACCGAAGATCAGATCGAACAAGACCCTTGTATGATCGCAGGTACTATATTTGTCCTCGATAAACCCACGTATGCTCTAATTGATTCCGGCTCCACTCACTCCTTTATATCCGATAAAATAATTACATATCTGAATCTCACCCCTAGTCGAACAAACTACGAATATCGCATTCTCATTCCCTCTGGTGAAGAAATGTGTTCGAAGCAAATAATACTCAATTGTCCGATCCGAATTCATGCCCAACCCTTGAATTTTGATCTAATTATTCTACCAATCAAAAACTTCAATATTATCCTCGGCATGGATTGGTTAACCAAATTCAAAGCCAAAATTGATTGTGCTCCGAAAACCGTCATCTTTCCTCTTCCAAACGGCGAAACCTTAAAATTCCAAAGTCAACCCAAAACATCAATTCCAATCATCTCTGCTGTCAAAGCTGTCAAACTTATTCACAAGGGTCATTTCGGCTACTTAGTGGATATTTTGAAATCCGAACCCAACGACAAACCTCAAATGTCCGATATACCGGCGGTGCAAGAATTTCCCGACGTATTTCCCGACGACATCCGTGGACTTCCACCCGATCGAGAAATCGAGTTTGAGATTAACTTGATTCCCGGAGCTGCCCCCATTTCCAAAGCCCCGTATCGGATGGCCCCGACAGAATTAAAGGAGCTGAAAGATCAAATTCAAGAATTGCTCGATAAAGGCTACGTCCGGCCCAGTCACTCGCCGTGGGGAGCCCCCGTATTGTTCGTCAAAAAGAAAGACGGATCCCTTCGCTTATGCATTGATTACCGTGAACTTAATAAAATCACAATCAAGAATAAATACCCCCTCCCTCATATTGACGATTTGTTTGACCAACTCCAAGGCTCCTCCGTCTTTTCCAAAATCGACCTCCGATCCGGATACCACCAACTCAAAATCAAAGACTCAGATATTCCCAAAACCGCCTTCCGAACCCGATATGGCCATTATGAATTCGTAGTCATGCCCTTCGGTCTAACCAATGCCCCCGCAGCTTTCATGGACCTCATGAACCGAGTCTTTCATCAATACTTGGACCAATTCGTAATTGTCTTCATTGACGATATTTTGATCTACTCTAAAAACCAAGAAGAGCATATGTCACACCTCCGCACCGTACTTCAGGTTCTCTGATCTCATCAGCTTTACGCCAAATTCAGTAAATGTGAATTTTGGTTATCAAGTGTGGCTTTCCTTGGTCACATTGTATCGGCAAAAGGAATCTCTGTCGATCCTAGCAAGATAGAGGCGGTGTCAAATTGGTCAACTCCAAAGAATGCAAAAGAAATCAGAAGTTTCCTCGGACTAGCTGGCTACTACCGCAAGTTTGTGAAAGATTTCTCGAAGCTTGCCTCTCCGCTCACCCGACTAACCCGAAAAGACGTTAAGTACCAATGGACCCCAGAATGCGAGGCCAGCTTCACCGAATTGAAGAATCGACTCACATCAGCACCAATCCTCACGTTGCCGGAGAAAACGGGAGAATTCATAGTTTACGGTGATGCATCTAAACTCGGGTTAGGAGCTGTACTTATGCAAAATGGGAAAGTCATAGCTTACGCCTCACGCCAACTCAAGGAGTACGAACGGAATTATCCAACGCACGACCTCGAATTAGCCGCCGTTGTATTCGCACTCAAGATCTGGCGACACTACCTCTATGGCGAAAAATGTACCATCTACACCGATCACAAGAGCCTGAAATATTTTTTCACTCAGAAGGATTTAAATATGAGGCAAAGAAGATGGCTTGAACTAGTCAAGGACTACGATTGTGAGATACTCTACCACCCCGGCAAAGCTAACGTTGTTGCCGACGCCCTCAGCCGCAAGTCAATAAACGCTCTCACTGTTCAGCCCACTTTAAGGGAATCGATCAAAACAGCTCAACAACACGACCCGCAAATTCTCAAAATTCGTGACAACCTCGAATCCCATCCAAACTTTCAAATCTCCGAAGAAGGACTTGTTCGATTCCAAAATCGAATCTACGTTCCTGACGATCCGAACGTTCGCCGACTAATCCTAACCGAAGCTCATCAAACTACGTACACTTGCCATCCCGGAGAAACCAAGATGTATCAAGACCTCAAAAAGTTATACTGGTGGCCCGGAATGAAGAAAGACGTGGTTCGATTCGTCGCGGAATGCTTAATATGCCAACAAGTCAAGGCGGAACATCAGAGGCCCGGCGGCTTACTTCAATCAAACTTAATTCCAAAATGGAAATGGGAAGCCGTTACGATGGATTTTGTGCAAGGGTTTCCAAAGACCCAAAGGGGATCCGATGCCATTTGGGTGATTGTTGACCGACTGACCAAATCGGCTCATTTTCTCCCAATCCGGATGACTTTTAGCTTAGACAAGCTAGCCGAGCTATACGTTCGAGAGATCGTTCGACTTCATGGCGTTCCCGTCACCATTATTTCCGATCGAGACCCTCGATTTACATCCAAATTCTGGAAAAGCTTACACGAAACCCTCGGCACACGATTAAATTTCAGCACAGGCTATCACCCACAAACCGACGGTCAATCCGAGCGAACCATCAAAACCCTAGAAGATCTGCTACGTGCTTGCATTCTCGACTTTGGAGGAAATTGGGAATCCCGTCTCCCATTAATCGAATTCGCGTACAACAATAGCTTCCACTCATCGATTGGAATGGCACCATATGAAGCTCTATATGGTCGTAAGTGTCGATCACCACTCCATTGGGACGAAATTGGCGAAAGAAAATTTCTCGGTCCCGACCTAGTTCAACAAACCGTCGAAATAATCAAAAATATCCGAGAGAAAATGCGAATCGCCCAAGATCGGCAACAAAGCTATGCCAACACTCGAAGGAGAGATCTCGAATTCGAAGTTGGAGATTCCGTATTCTTAAAAGTGGCGCCTTTCAAGGGAATTATGCGATTTGGGAAAAAGGGAAAATTAGCACCACGATTTATTGGCCCATTCGAAATTCTCGACAAAGTTGGTACTCGCGCCTACCGTCTAGCCTTACCACCCAGCTTATCCAACTTTCACAATGTCTTTCACGTTTCCATGCTTCGGAAATACATTCGCAGTCCAGACCACGTATTGAAAACCGAACCGATCGAACTAAACCCTAATCTTTCCTACGAAGAGAAACCTTCCCAAATACTTGATTCCAAAACCAAAACCCTTCGAAACCGAGACCTAAAATTCGTTAAAATCCTTTGGCAAAACCATACACCTGAAGAAGCCACGTGGGAACAAGAAGAAGAAATGCGCGAACGTTACCCCGAGTTGTTCAGGTAACAATTTTGGGGACAAAATTTCTTTAAGGGGGGGAGATTGTAACACCCCACCTTTCCAAAACCCGAAAACCCTAAAACCCGAAACTAATATTTCTAACTCGAGAACCCTTAGGTAATATTATTACGTGATATTAATTATATGCATTACGTGAATTTAATTATGTGACTTACGTGAATAATTACGTGCGTTATTATGTGGTGATTTCATGGTATTTATTTTGTGAAATTCGTGAGTAGATATATATGTGTGAATTATGTGATTTAATATCAATTTCGTAAGTTGAAATTCTAGGAATTTCGTGAACTACGTGACTTATGTGAATTATATACATACACATACTTACATGCATACGTATATACATTTTCATACGTGCATATACATACATATATACTAATACTTGCATTCTATATTTGAGTATATTTACATGGTATATATATATATATTTGTGTGTGTGTGTGTGTCCGGATTGTGTGTGTGTGTTGTTATGCAAGTTGGGTTTATTTTAAATAAATAAATTAGTGATTATATTGCATGCCTTTCCACTTGCCAAATGCTAATCATTTTGCCTAAACCCACTTGCTTAGTAAGATAAAAAAAAAACCACTCTTCCTTTTTCTTCTTCAAACACCTAACCCCCCTACTTGTCTTCCTCTCTCCCTCTCCACCGTAGCATCATCACCACCTCCATTCTTCATCTTCTTCCACCTCATTTCTTGTTTTTCAAAGAAAATGAAAAATCACTTGAAAATTTCCCTATTTAACCACGGTCATGGAGCAGCCTAGATCACCACTCATCTAAGAAATATACACCTCATTTGAAAGCCCACTCAATCTCTTCCACAATCATAGTAGCTTGGTTAGATTTCGGTGCTTGAAAGCCTCTCTTCTTTCGGTTGCTTTCTTCTCTTCGATTTTAAGGTAAGAAATTTCGAGTTTCTTGCTGCAATTAGAAGATATCATATTATTTTAAAAGAGTTTTCAAGATTACCTAAAAGACTTTTAAGTATTTCGAAATTTAGGGCTTTTTGGGGAAAAATGGAAAAGAGGTGTGTAATGTTGATTTCTTGTTCTTGCATGCCTCATCTATATTGGTAGTGGGTAGATACAAGTTTTATTGGCCAAAAGCATTAAAAATTTTCAGATTTGTTAGGGGTTTTCATGAAAAAGTGGATTTTGAACTTTTAGTGTGGTTGCATGTGTAAATCTTGAAACTTTGGGGTCAAAACTGCAATTTCCGAAAAATCTCTCATTTCTAAAGTTTGGATCTGTTTTCCAGTAAGTATTAAATGGGGAAAAAGTTTTATTTACAAAGATTTCAAAGTAATTAAGGTTATATTGGAGTTTTTGATTTTTAAAAGAAAAAGGGAAT